ATAAACAAAAAAACATTCGCTCCATTCTATTTAGTTGCCTCGTTAGCTTCTTGGCCATTATCGGCTCGGAATAATCATGTTTAATTTCCTCTTTACTGAAAGCTCCGCATTACGACGTGATTATTGTTATGCCCTGGGGTAGGCTAAAAGAGGTACCACCCGACTACACGATCGTAGCGGGCATCAGCTCTCCCCCATACAGGTATACACCAGGCCATAACAATTATTCCCTTTGGGTTTTGTTAATACAGATTTCTTTTGGTGAATTATCCGGACCGCAGTTCTACAGGATAACGGACGCGTGTGCTCGGCTGCCTGTGCCACAGCGGATACGGATACCCTGGCTGCAGGCGAAAAGGAGGAAGCAGGACTAATCGGATGGGTCAAATCACCACGAGCATTCAAGAACACTTAGAATGGGCATCTCGAACGATGGCGAAGGGCTTCTGGGCTTCCAAGAAGCAGTCCTGAAAGAGTTGGACCAGAAAGACGGCCTATTAATCCTTGCGCGCGGCCTTGGACTGCGCTCCATCATCTCGACATACCTGAAATCTCATTGTGTCAAGGCTCACCTCACGCCGCCTCCGTTGGTCTTCGTCATCAACGCCACCTCCGATGACGAGGCTGGAATCAACGATCAACTCGGCATGCGAATGGCGTGCATACATCACGAGATATCCGCTTCCGAAAGGTCTCTACTATCCCTCAAATCGTGTGGCAAAAACCCAAACTAATGTCGTTCTCTTGTTTTTTGTTTGTTTGTTTAGGGAACGTATGTTCAAACATGGCGGCGTCCTTTCTATCACGTCAAGGATCCTGATCGTTGACATGCTCAACTCCAAACTTGACCTGGCCCAAATCACTGGCATCGTGGTCCTTCATGCTGAGGAGTATGTCACCTCCCTTCCCCCGAACTTCTTTCATTATTATTATTATTTTAGATCGAGTGCATTTGTCTGAGGCTTTTCCCCCCTTTCATTTGTGCAGGGTTTCGCCAGCTTCAATCGAGGCCTTCATACTCCGCGTCTTTCGAAAGTCTAACACTGTTTGTTATCCTCTTTCCCCCTTTGCCTTCAAATTTTCACTTATTAAATCGAAAAAAAAGCCACGTCTTATTATTGCTTCTATTATTTGACAAAGAAAGGTTTCATCAAAGCGTTCTCAGAAGAGCCGGAACATTTCACATATGGATTCGCGCCTTTGCAAACTGTTTTGAATCAACTGAAGCTCCGGAACGTATTCCTTTGGCCAAGGTGAGAGAGGAATGTCCAAACTTCTCACAAGAAATTTACGTGTTAAATGAACCCTACATACGTTGGATTCTAGGTTTCGAGTTGAAATTAAGGAGGAATTTGAAGCCATGAAGCCTCAGGTGATCGAATTACATCAACCAATGAGTCCCGCCATGCACGATATTCAAACAGCCATCATTGAATCCATGGAGGCGACTTTGGCCGAGATCAGAAGATGCAATACAAATGTATGTCTGCTGGACTTTCTGTGTCTCCTAACAATGTTGAGACTAAGTCTAGCTACACTCGACTTTCGTTTCTGTTCAGCTGGAAGTTGATGATCTCACCATCGACAACGCTCTTCATCGATCCTTCGACCAAATCATCCGCAACCAATTGAACCCTATCTGGCATCGTGTCAGCTTCAAGACCAAACAATTGGTCTCGGATTTAAAAACTCTTCGACAGCTATTGTCGTCAGCTCAACAGTCCTCTATTTGTCACCATCCATGCTGAAGTGTGCCACTGAAAACAGCTCGTTGACTGAATCGAGACTTACTTGCTTTCAGGTACCTATTAGCTTTCGATTGCATAACATTCTACCGCTTTCTAGAAACAATCCTCGTTGCAAACTCTCCCAAGGAATCGGCGGCCGGTCTGCGGCACAGCGAAAGCCCATGGCTTTTTACTAGCGCTGCAGACACGATCTTTTCTGTCGCAAAAAACAGGGTATTTCTGAAGCAGAACCCATCCACAGCCACAGATTCAAACGTAATATCAATCTTGCCCGGTGACCCAACAGAAGAGGAAGAGGAAGCCATGAGAGAGATTGAAGAGATTGCTGTGAACGCTGTCCAAAGGTCAGGCTATGGTCTCCACTTAGCCGCCGATACTGGCTGGAACTGGTTGCCAGAAGACATAGAACCTGTCTTGGAAAATCAACCCAAGTGGCAGTTATTACAAGACGTTCTTAAGGAAATCGAAGAAAATTTGTATCAGGCAGCGGAATCTGAGACCGGTGCGTATTTCACACGATTCTCTTGGAGGCAGATTAGTGCTATCACACCTAACGTTGTTGATCTCATCCCTCAGGCGATTCAGCTGAGTTTAATACGATTTTGATCATGTGCTCTTCCACATCAACTTGTTCTGTCCTCAAAGAATACATCGCCACTCAGCACGTCCCATCCGATGCCAAGTACGGTACGCGTCCTATTATGAAACGGCGATTGAGGGAATACTTTTTTTGGAAAAGAACGATGGGAAAGATGTCTCGTAATTCGCAGCAGCAGGAGCCACAACCACCAGCGTCGACTTCGAAATCAAGCACTGATGACCAAGCCATGAGTGCTGCATTAAAGCGCAAGACGGAATTCCAACGCAAGGCCACGTATCTGAACAAGAGACGGAGAGTCAGGGGGGCCTCTAATGCCGCCACTGCGGGCCATTCCAGAGATAATCCAGTAGACCTGAGCAAGCCAAGCGACCCAGAAACGGTTGAGAAAGAAGCCATGGAAGTAGCGGATTTGTGAGGATATTTTTAGTTCTCAGGTTCGAGGGAGAGGGAGTACATATCCAACTGAAATCATGGCAAGACACTCAGGTTCGATTCGATGGCGAATCAACAGAATGATTTGACCGAGAGGGAAGATGGGGCCATTGACGGTTTACTCACCGATACATTGGACGGATTGGATTTCGTGACAGATTTTGATATGCTATCCATGGACGATTTGGTGGTTATACAGGTCTATCTCGGCGATGAGGATGATTGTGTCTTGGAAGAGCTGAGACCTCGTCATGTCATTATGTATGAACCCGATGTCGGCTTTGTCAGACGAGTTGAAGTCAGCGTTAAAAAATGTTTTCAGATATATCTCACAACCGTAAAGAACTGACTCTAATAACTTTTCTTTGACTTTGAAAATGTAGTGCTATCGTCTCAGACATCCAGAAATTAATGTTAAACCTTACTTTCTGATGTACAGTGAATCGGTTGAAGAACAAAGATATCTTTCGAGTATTCGAAGAGAAAAGGAATCGTTTGAAAAGTTGATCAGGGAGAATTCAGTAAGTGCCGATGTGTGAAAGTTGTGTCAAAATTTATTTATTTTTTGAATCCTTTTGGGGCTTGTATCTTTCTTCGAACAATTAGACAATGGTGATTCCTTTGGACGTCGAAGCTAGACCTGGGGATCTTACCCAAGAACAATTGGTGCATGTAATTTCCTCTCGACATGCGGGAGGCAAGGCGCTTAAAACAGGAATGCCAAAGGTAAACTTGAAATCTTTTTTTAGACAGATCACGATTTGTATTTCAACTCACGAGGAACTTGGGAATAATGGCGACTGAAAAAGGACAACCCTTCTTTCTGGGCTTCTTTTGGTGGTGATGATGATGATGACGCAAAAAAAAAATAGGTCGTAGTGGACGTCCGAGAATTTCGATCCTCCTTGCCCTCCTTGTTGCATGCTCAGAATTTCACTATCGAGCCTACCACCCTGTTGGTTGGTGATTATATATTATCCCCGGAGATGTGCGTCGAAAGGAAGAGTATTGCCGACTTGATACAAAGTTTCAATTCTGGTAGATTGTTGAGTCTCAATTCTCGTTCTGATAAACTTTTGCTATCCCCAATCAATATTACTTACTGTTTTTTTCTTCTTTTTATGTATAGATATCAACAATGTGAAATGATGTCCGCTCATTACAAAACCCCGATTTTATTGATTGAATTTGATGAGAAGAAATCTTTCACTCTCGAGGTATGCCCCCTTTTTTTTGTTGATAGGGCAGAAGGGGAAGCAGAAGGAAGGCTGATGGGAAGGTGTGTTATGTATGTGTGTATGAAGACATACAAAGAGACGAGAGGAAACAAGACGAGCACGAATACGGCGGGACCATCGGACACGGACCTACAAGCGAAGCTAGTGTTACTGACGTTGACGTTCAAGAAGCTGCGGATGATATGGTCATCATCGCCGGCGGCGACGGCAGAGATATTCCGAGACTTGAAGCAGACGCATCCGGAGCCGGATGGGGAGAGGGCCAGTTTGGTAGGGATGGACGAGATCTCGATGAGCGAGAAGGGCCGACTGGACCTGGTCTCTCTGTCTCATCAGAACAGCAACGTGGCCTTCTGTAGCTTGGCCCATGAGCTCTTGAAGGCTTTGCCCGGCATGGATGAACTTAAAGCTCGGAAACTTATTTGGGGACTTGTCCATTCTACTCCCGCCATTAACACTAGCAGTAACAGCAGTGCCGATCCTTCAAATGTTGTCCCCCCTCTCTCCACCGATGCTGTCCCATCCAACCCCTCCTCTCATCATCTCGTCAAAAACTTTAAGGATTTGTGCTTGTTATCTTGCCGCGATCTTAAGAACTTGTTGGGGCCTGAATCTGGCGCCAGACTGTTTCACTTCATCCATGACGAGGTTGATCATGCTTGAAAAAAATCATCATTTCTCCCTTGTACTTTCTCCTACCTCTTCTCCTCATCCTTTCGTTTTTCCTTACTGTATCTCTCTGTACACCCACCCCTCTTCCCTTACTCTTACTTGGATCGCCAATGGGTAAACGATACTAATGGCAATAATGATGAATAATCTCAGCTTGAGGGAGTTGAGAGCACGTCACACTTGATGTCTGTCGCTATACTTCACAACATTAATCGTCAAGATGTTATTCAACCGGAATGGGGAGTAAGCTTCATCACCAATATTTGCAAGTGGAACGATCGGCATGATGCAGAGGCGAAAAAAGAAACTATTGCCTGACAGCACAAGGGAGTAGTGTAAGCCCGAGGCCATCGTCCCAATCAGTCCGGCAAGCCAGGTAATGACTGGGGGCATTGCAAAGATAAGAGTAATTAATTGATATTCTCGATGAGAATATACCAGTAATTACACTGATAAGAACAGATACTACACTTGATCTAAGCCAAAAGGCCAGAATGGATGATGGTGTACCCAATTTGTCGTATTTGTACTGCATAAAGAAGGGCGCTTGATCGAGCCGTGGTCAGATCGTCTTCCCAGACCCGCTCAACCGGTGAGCCCCACTCTTGTATCTCCCCCGAAACTGGCCCCGATCCCTCCGCGCAATCCGTGTGGCCGGTCAAGGGCATCATGTGGCGAACTTAACACAAGCCCCTAGGTTGTACTTGGGGCCCGAAGGGCCCGCGGAGCGCAGGGAGGGACTTGTGACTACATAATACTGATGATTTGGCGTAGATCCGGAGGCACTGAATCACCATTTTGGTGGTCTACTTTTTTCACCGCCCATTGTGAACCACCTTCTGGTGGTACCACTGGGCTGCCATTGTATCAAAATGGAGGCCTGCTTTGGGCCTTCAAATTCTACCTATTTTTCAAATCCCCACACCTCAAGCTCTTCCGTGGATAGCTTGATATATTAATATGTGTTCATCAATATACAGGTGTTGGAAGGTGTGAGAAATTAGATCTGTGCCGCTTTTCCTTCCCGCACTTACTGCGAGTTTAACGAGGGAAGGTGAGGCAGAGATGATTTATGAGAGGAAGGCTACGGCGGCTCTGGTGAGTTAGAAAAAATATGAAGAGGGAAAATTCACCGCAGGAAGCAGAGCTACAAAATGGTATCCATGGGGGAGGGATCAGTCTGCAGGCTGAGGTGTAAAATGGTTTCAAATGCGGAAAACATGTTTTATGTGGCTCACCCGGCCAGAATCCAGGCACAAAAAAAAAAAACAGTATTAGTCATAAGCCTCTCCATGAGACCTAGAGAGGCTTTGATAATCTAAATCATATGGCCTCTGTCTCAACCCCTCCCCCCTCTCAGATGGTTGATGTGTGTCCCACCCTGAATTTAGCTGTTGAACACTGAGCACACTTTCCAGTTGGACATGTTATGACTTGTTATGTTTTTTTTTGTTCAGATATACTAAGGGATTGAAATGATGGAGATGTGGCCTGGAATAGGTCCCTATTTTTGTTGATATGGTGTGGTCCCTCATGAGGAAGCAATGCTTCACTCAGAGTCACACACCCACATGAGCTTCTTGAGGCTGGATCTTTTATCCATCTTCCAGGGGATCTCTGCTGTGAGCAAGATTCAGGAAGAAGTTGGATTGGCTACTCAAGCCGCACCCCTTGAAAGCTCATATCTACCACTCAACAGGACTAGGGTCAAATCAATCAACATGCACTGATTTTTGAGAGTGTGTCTCAAGTTTCCAGTCATAATGATGTCAGAGCATCTCCACAATGGAGTGTAAATTGCAGATGTGAAAACATCTGCAATGCATCCTTAACTTTGGTTTTCAAACTTAAAACTATGTGTCTCCCGCAGGTTAACCAGGAGCTCAAAATCTTGTGAAACCATATCCACCTGACACCCATCTACTCCCTGGAGACATCATCCACAACCAGCCTTTTTTTTTTCTTGATTCCATTCCCAATGAAGTCACAACTATGCATCAAGAATACACTCAGCTCTCAGGCAGCTATACTGGCAACATCCCTATTACCTGAAGAAGATAATGTGAAAAACAAAGTCCTGGCCAAATGTGGCAGATCACAGGAGGGCTGTGCTCCAAATTTCTCTTGTAACTTTGAATGCAGGTATAACCAGATTTATTGGGATCACTTTGCAAGGTCTATGGAGATTGGCTTTTGTTTTTTTTTTCAAAATGAATCAATCACTCTTCCTGAAGATTATTCAAGATGTCACAAAATATGATTAATACTTTGTTCAAAAAAAAAAAAAAAAGAATGCCCTTGGACAACTAGGCCTGCATGGAATTCAAGAGATTACTTGTGAAATTCATATGGTAGCCTATGGAGCCTCTGCGGATGCGAACAATGACTACCTTTGTATGGGAGAAAGCAGATAATTGAAGTGCTTGGATCATTTCTGCTAGGAAATATACAAGGTTTGTGGAGCAACATACCTGCAACATCACATTCCAGTGGACCTACAGAAAATATTGTAGTTCAACCAGGTCCTTGGCTTCCCTGGCATGCTAGGTTCATTAGATTACATGCATTGGGGGTGGTAAAAGTTCTCAGCTGCTGGGAAAGGGAAGTCTGAAGGTAAGGAAAAGGTGCACATGATTTTATTTTATTCAATTATGCGTGTTTTTTTTTTTACATTGACTGAGACAAAATTAATATTTGGCAAAGCCACCATTGTCCTAGAGGCCATTGTCCCTTATGATCTATGGTTTTGGAATATTGAACAACTGAAAAGGAAGGTTGTGGACAGTGGGACTTGAACCCACAACCTCAGCACTGAGATTTCCAATGATTTTCCTGGGTCTTCTCTCCTCTTCTTTTTCTTGTTTGTGAAATTTTTATGACAAGTGGGCAATAAGTGGTGTTCAAGTCACCAATGTGAACACGGCTAATTATCATTTCAAAAATGTTGCTTGAATTACCTCACAGACACCGTCCTCAATTTTTTAATATATATCACCAGGAGAAAATTTTAGGTCCAGTAGTATTTTCTTTGAAAAAATGTTCTTTCTTTTTATTTGGGGGGGGGAAGGTCTGGCAGGGAAAACTGAAAGAATTATGAAACGACGAAAAAACACCAAAAAATGTGAGATTCATTACTGGGTGGTAAAATTATGTATATAAGCAGTTCGATAAAAAAACCAATGTATTAGATCAGGTGATGTTTCACTATGATCAATGGTATTTCGACGTAGAAAGAAGGGCGCCGAATAATTTAAAGCAACAAACAGGGGGTGGAAAGCTATTGTCTAGTTTATATGTTGGTGGCGTGAAAAATAATTCGTGGTTGGATGTGAAGTAAGGGAGATGATGAATGAGGATAAGGGTTCAGAAGAATGAGTCTAATGGGGAGTAACAACAGGTTGACCAAAAGAAGCCGATAAAAAACGAAGAAAAAGAAGAGAGAAAATAACAAACAGCAACAAGCAAGATGAAGCAGGGGAGAGGGAGAGATCATTTGAGGGCGATCCTAGTGACGCGTTTTTGTTTCAAGCCATCAGTGCTAAGGTCATTCCAGGAAGAAGAAGCAGCCGAAGAAGAGCGGGGATTGAGGAGATCGAAGTCGACCGGAGGGTCCCTGGAGTAAAAGGAATGGAGGTCGTGTTGGTGGCCGACACGGGTGGGAGAGGAGAGAGCGGAGGAGGGCGAGGAATGGCGCAGGGGAGTGCTGCGGGCTGCAAAATGAGATATGGAGCGAGAAAAGGGACTCAGTGTCCAGTTCCCCCGGACCAGACTGGCCAGTAAGGCACATTGCGATCCTTCCTCCTCTTCTTCCTCTCCGACTCCTTCCTCTTCTTTATCGTACTTCGGATCCTCTCCTTTGTAGCCACTCGTCGCATGGGAGGCGAGGAAAGTCGGCGAATCCGCATGGCAGCGGACCGGCGTACCGCAGTTGGACGCATAGGCAGGCAGACAGGTCATACTGGATCTTTGGGTCGATGGGAAGATCGACGAAGATGGACGCGGGAGCGGTTGAGGGCGGAAGATCTTGACAGGACTGGTACTCATTCTGATCTGTGCGGGTCGCTTGGCCTGAGAACTCTCTCTAGCCGACATCATTTTCGCAAGCAGTCCGGTAGAGCTGGGAGAGGGACTATGCATGGACAGCCGCTCCAGCCGTCGACTGCGCAAGACTTCTCCTTCCTCATGGCCCTTCTCTTCGGCTAGAGCCACTGCAAGATCTTCCAGCGTCGTCCTCGTTGCTGACCTGTTAAACACTTTAGATGAGCTACGAGTATCGGCATGCCCATTATGCGACGAGAGTCCAGAGGAAGAGAGAGCCGAATTCACAATTCCCGCCGAGTGGGAATGGATGACCTTCGGTTTAACCATCGGTTGTTTAATGGCCCGCTCATCCGCTGGTCTTTTTTGCTTGGACTGGGGAGATATGGCAGGACTATGGGTGTGTGAATATAGTGTGGAGGACGAGACATCGGAGGGTGATGTATCCTCTTTGCTTTGGTCTTCCTCATCATCCGTATGGCTTAGAACAACCCCTAGGCCCATTTTTCGACTTTTCTGTTTAATGAGCGAGCGGTAATTGGTAAAGCACCCAACCAGTGGTGGATGAGAAGGCCGCAGACCATAGGTGGGGTCGTAACACTCAATCTGCTCAGGTACGGATAGGGCTCCATTGGAGTCACTTATGGTTTGGGTTGTCGGTAGAGGTGGGGTTGGTGCTGTGACCAAAGTTGAAGGTGGTTCGATATCGGTCTGCGTTCGTCCCTCCGGATTATTTCTTCCTAACCATTGTCGACTGAGTTGGTGGATGATGCTTGGCAGCTCAGTCCTAAAGAGGTCTCTCAATTGACGCTCGATTTCAGATTGTAAAAATGTCTGTATGGCAGCCAGAGAATCGAATGTTGAGGAAACTTGGACACTTTCGAGCGGGTCGTTCTTGAAGACTAAGGTGACACCCTCTAGGCGAGAAATGACTAGCACTACAATCGCCCTAAGTTTAAGGCTTGAAAGACTTAATGTCATGGGCACTATCAAGGGGGTGGATGCAAACAAGATTGGGGGAGTGGTTAGGATATCTGAGGTTGCGGTGGGTGTCCGTTGTCGTAGAGGGTTAACCTGTTTTAAACGGGAAGGACAAGAGGATTTCAGCATGAAAATTAGAAATATATTCAGATACCACCGTCGAAATGATTTCATGAATCAAGATACCAACTTGGACTTTAGTTTGCAAACGAATTGATGCGTCGCCGGCATAAGTCATCCTAAAGATGCCTCTGAACCTGTCCTTACCAAGATCGCCGATTTCCAAGATTTCTAGGTCGGGTGGCTAACAGGAAAAATAGAAGTGTAAGCATCAAGATAAGTAAATTGCAGTTATGTATGGAAAGCAGTCATGAAGAGAAATGTCGCTCAACAATGGTTCCCATATCAAGTTGATTGACCTCGATTCTATCGGCAATGATAGCGGGCTTATCGCCTTTGTTGAGGGCCTGCGGGAAGAGGT